TAATAAACATTTAATAAACCACAGTTAAAATTTACAAAAATAAAAGTTAAATGTGCTATTAAATAATATGAACTTACACTAAAACTAATATTACTCGGATTACTACGATTATTTCATAATTTTAAAACTACATACTCCCGACGTTTCGGCTACTTTTCAGCAACCGTGATCATTGGCAAACCAGGAAGTAACCGAAACGTCGGGAGTATGTAGTTTTAAAAATAATAAAATACTGATAGTATACGAAAAATATTAGTTTCATTTAAATGAATATTCGCGAAAATCTTAGATCTCATTAAACTTTTACTATCCAGGGGTAAATAAAACAATGCACTCGTCAACATTTTAAAGAAATACAAGTTTTCACAAATGAATTCTTTTCATAATATAATATACCAGCTTTCCGCTTGCGGCTCGCCCGCGTGGAGTTCGGTTATATCGCGTTTCCAAGAGGACCTTTCAAAAGTCTTTGATAAAAACTATCCTATGTTCTTTCTCAAGGTCAACTCTATGTCTGTATCAAATTTCATTAAAATCAGTTCAGTGGTTTAGGCTTGAAAGCGTAACAGAGAGACAGACAGACAGAGTTACTTTCGCATTTATAATATTAGTAGGGATAGTAAAAGGCAGATATACAATAAATATTTTTCGACAAAAAAAAATATACATTTTACGTAAACAATTTACGATTACTTCCTTTTAATGATAATGAGATACTTTTTTATAGTTTTTTTTAACCGCATTCATCTGTCAATCAATTGAGTCGATAATTGTAGCCTTATGCAGGGACGAACGTGATGTGTTTAATATATATATATACTTGTATGTTTGTATGTACATTTCTTTTTCTTCTACCTGGCAATTTTCCAGCTTTAGCCAGGGTCTGCCTTACATGTTGTGAATAGTTTTGGCTAATTGTTTTTACGACCGGCCGCCTGCCTGACATTAACCCTCTTTGGGAATGCATTAATCAGTGATGTCTAAATACTCTTAGAAAGTACATATGACTCAGAAAAATAACTTTGGTACTTGCCAGGATCGAACTCGCGCCCTCATGTATGTATGAGAGGCGGGCCTTTAACAACTAGGCCACCACTGACTTTATGTATGTACATATATGTATTTGTAGTATTTAATAGTAGTAAAAATGTAAGCATCTACTTATAATTCCTCTTACAATATACTTGTCATTAACTGTGTAAATTATGACTTAAAATTCACTTATTAATATTATTATTTTTCACAAAAATTAAGTTTTTTAATAATATTTAACTTAATATCATTTTATTTTAACTATCTTGTGTCGACTGAAGAGATTTCCTGATTGTAGGAATTACAGCAACTTTCGATTTCTCTAGATGGTATTTTAATTTATCTATATCTACATATTATATTTAAAAAAGTATGTTTTTTATTATATATAGGTAAAAATTAATAAAAGTGACAAAGCGAGAGGGATGTTAATCATTTTTGTTTTGAAGAAACACTAACAATACCTTCAAAATCAATATCCACTTCTTCTTGTTTTCTTTTCAGCATTACTAAGTTTCACACCTTCGTCGTGGTGATACTCCACACACAATTAATTTTTTTTCAACAGTTTTAAATAAATTTTAGACGTGTCACCATTTTAATTGTTGTGCATTTATTTCGTCGATACTCCGTTAAATTATTTTTTGTAGCATTCGAACAGGGATATTTTTTTAACACAGATCGAATTCTAAAGAAAAATGATATCAAATTTATATTTAGATATTTTCATTATTATTATGTATTCCAACAATTATAATAAGAATGTCTGTTTATCACTTTCAAATAACCGCCTTTTACTGATATAAGAAAAACTTTTAATTCAATATATCTCTTTGTTCAGCGGATCCTTAAAAAAAAGTAACGATTTTGATATGACTTTCACTGACAGATAGTTTTTTTTACATTTATTATTATAAATAACATGAAATGGTTATTCAAGGACTAGCTAAGTTAATTTCTTTTTCTTTAAATTTGAAAAATAAACAAAAGAAATCAATTATGACAAAGTGCTCAGCACATTGATTGTAATCGTGGCGTTAATTAAATTCTATAATCAACCGCATCCAGTCTGAAGACGCCTTAATATACACCTGAATATTTAATACACCTGCGGCAGATAATGTTCATTGAACTTACCACATGTTTCCATTATTTTACGACAAACTTAAAGTTAAGAGTTTTATATTCAATGTCAACAAATTATAACGCACGAACGAACTAACTCGAAATAGGTTCGTCGTTGATTTGTACGCGGTAGAGGTGGGAGCGAGAGGTATAACAGCTAAATCTTTCTCAACCTACTAAAAGACTTGGGCCTGTCCAGAACTAACATTAATTCATTCTTGGAATATACATCGAAGACAGCCCTATTAGATTCTTTTCAAATTTTGGTAGAGAGAGGAGCTTGGACGGTGGAGGTGAGCGTTTAACGCGTTAGATATGAGCCCTTTAAACCTACACCTGGGTCACAAGTCCCAGTCACTGTTGAAGCTCCTCTCACTACAACGATGGACCCGACACACGCACCGTGAATACATTGAATGTTAATAGGTTTCATCTCATTAACGTTGGTTATAGATTGAGTACGTTCAAACTTGACGTATTGAGTGTGACTACAGACTCGTAGTAAGGTTATTGTAATATTAAACCCAGGTCATGATAACTCAGTGATCGTCAGTGATTGTATGTTAAATATATATTATTTATATTTGTTGTAAAAAACTTTAAACTTAAACTGTGCACCAATTTTATTGAATATGAATTTAAATGGATGAAATAAAATAAAATATTATGTTTTGAAACATACACATATTAATGAAATCTAAGATCTTCGTTAGTATTCATTTAAATGAAACTAATACATATTTTTAGGATTATACTACGAGTGTTTTTTGTACAAAACTACTTATTCCGAACGTTTCGACTACTTATCTATCCGTGATCACGTTTCTTGAAATATATACATATATATACTAGCTTCCTGCCCGCAGCTTCGCTCGCGTTGAGTTCTGTTATATCGCGATTCCAAGAGAACCTTTCAAAAGTCTTAGATAAAAACTATCCTATGCTCTTTCTCAAGGTCAACTCTATCTCTATACCAAATTTGATTAAAATCAGTTCAATGGTTTAGGCGTGAAATCGTAACAGACAGACAGAGTTACTTTCGCATTTATAATATTAGTAGGGATATATAGTAAAAATAAAGTATTTATCAAGTGAAAAACCAAAAACATTAGCTCCTGTTGAGCGATTCATATAACTCTGTCACTTACTGCACATATTATCATAAAATTAACATTTATATACATATATTAACTATTAATAATTATAAATTAAATTTATTAAATATATATTATATAATTATTATATTTACTACAAAACAATTAATTTAGTACCCTACATTGAACTTGTTTTTTATTTTATTGTTTGTCTTGATTTTGATGGTATTTTAACTAATGTATAGGGAACATTCATAATAAATTTAATAATTTTACTTTTATAATAAATAACAACCAAGCCTCTTATAAGTCTACACACAAAATAAAAATGAGACGAAATCAATAATATGTATATATTGTTATAACTTAAAAACTTTCAAATATTATAAAATTTACGTAGATATATACGTTTTTAATATAACTAAAAAAATGATATACACTTTTTATAAATTAATTACCTAAGTTTCAAATCTACAAAGATGGTTATTTTTTCTTCTTATAAATTGTATTTTCAACTGACAGCATTTTTTTTATTATTGAATCATCTACAATATTTCTCTAATTATTTAACATTTAATAAATATTTTGTTATTTACAGAATTTCAGATAAACAAAAACGAATAAACTTCTCATTTATATTTTTTCAAACGAATTATAAAAAATCCACTATTATCTTTGTTTTTTTTACTTAGTTTTTCTTAAAGTATGTTGATATATAAATTTATTTATATGTTAATACATCTATATACTTTATATACATAATTATTAAAAAAACAAGACCATTTAATTATGCTTACATTAATCGATTAAGTAGTTATATCAGAACAAATAGATAAACATATATTAATATTTATAAATAAATATTTACAAATACTAGGCTTTATCACGTGGCTTCACTTGTATTATATTCGATTTGTATACTAAATGTCCTACTTTCAGTTGAATGCCAAAATTCCATCGTAAGAATGGCCATGATCCTGGATATAATATAATTCTGTCCATCCTGGGATTACTTCTGATAAGATGATCAATTAAAAGTTTACGCATTTTACAAGGATTTTTTTATTTATATTTGGGAATCATACAGTGTGTTATAACATAGAAATAAGGAATTATTTCTAAATCATAAACCAATAAAGATTCCACTTAAAAATAGTACAAATGTTAGGGAATGCGTGTAAAAAAAACAACAGAAAAAGAAAAAAATACAATCAAATCAACTAATTACAAAGTTAAAAAAAAATCCATTATTCATATAGAATTTGATGTTAAAAAAAATCGGATTTCAGATCCAAAAAAGCCCATAAATTTAAAAAAAACAATTAATTTTCTAGTATAATAAAGTTGCGTTAAAATAATTACGTAAATTTAAAATTAATGTGACTTGAGTAATATTTTTAAAACATATAATTAGTCATACATAATACATATATTACAAATTATAATTACAACGCCCAGAATGTTCTATCAAATGTAGGAAGTCATTTTCGGAATGACACTTTCAAGGAATGCATACTCTAAAACAAAAATTGCTATACTATTAGTACTTTTACTTGAATATCATAAAATTATTTTGAGATGCAGCCTAAAAATAGCTTTAATTAAAACCTCTTTTCTGATATCGATCTGTCATTTAAAAAAATAAATGTGATATCAAAAAAGGATGAATGTGTATCGGTTGGGTATAAATAGTGTGAAGCTGATAGCAAATGTATCAGTCTCACTTACAAGTCGAGAGGATATACAACCATGTACGCTAAACTGGTAAGAAATTATAATATTACTATACATATTACATATACTATATATAATATAAATATTTTTATTTTTATACCAAAAAAATATTGTGTCAAGTGTATATATTATATTGATAGTTGAAAAATATTTCTCCCATAACCTTCAATACCAATTAGAAACCAACATTGTAGCAATGACAAGAGTGATTTGAATATTAATATGTCTGTCCCAATCTCCTAAACTATTATTATAAAATCAAAGACAATCATAATTTCTTAATTTATTAACGAAAACAATACAAAGGAATTAATTAATTTATATATATAACTTGTCTGTTTTTTTCGTGACTTTCAAATGTAATTTTAACTAATTACCCCCAATTTTTCGTAACATGTTTGTTACGCACTGATTGTTTTTGCAACACCACACACAGTGACAGTGTGTTGAATCGATTTTCATCGGATATATTGATTGAAAATTTCATATCGATTAATGATTGCAATTAATTTTACGTCTTTTCTTTAATAAAATTACAAAAACAGTATTTTTGGATATACTATATTGGTTAGAACAATTTTTTATCACACTACATACGCAGTGTCTCGTTTCTCATTCAATAACGAGTAATGTGTGTAGACTTATTATATATACTTTTAACTCCGCGTACGTAGTAAGGAGATAGAAGCTTGTGGTAAGATAACAGTACACTCCCAAAAACAGCGTGGGTTGACAATGTTGTCTTTCAATACTCATTGTTTGATAAGTAGGAGAGAATTTAAATAGCTATCATATGATAGACCAACAAATATAGGAGCAGAATTATTAAATTTATAATATATTAACATTCTTACCAAGATAAGAAACACATTTTTAATAATTATATACAAAATTAATTGAATTAAATCTTTACGCAAGAACTTAACGCCTGGATTATTGTATTCAAATATGCTTATAGTCATTGGATGTATAAAATATATGTATATTATTTACTATACCTATATAATGATTATCGTAACCTGGCAAGTACCAATGTGATTTTTCCGAGTCATATGTACTTTTTAAGAGTATTTAGACACCACTGACTGATGAAGGAAAACGTCGTGAGGAAACCTGGACTTGAAATCAAATTATAAGTTTGAAATCACCAACCCGTCTTGAGCAAGCGTAGTGATTAATGCTCAATTTTATCCATGTTAGAAGAAGCCTTTGTTCAGCAGTGGGCTCTGATGATGATGATTATTATTAATATATTTAATGTAATATTTTAGTTCATCCTTTGCGCCGTTGCCGTGGTAGCGCTAGCTCGCGAGTACCCGGCCGGTCTCCACCCGGCAGTATGCCCCAACTACCCATTCTGTGACGCCACCGCCTTCCAGAGGTTCACTCCAGAAGGACAACCCATCCCTGAATGGATTTACAACCCATCCATCCTCCCACAAGCACCAGTAGAGTGAGTATAGTACGGCTTCCGACGAAACCTCTCATCATTCATATTCATGTGCGTGTGTCGGGTCCATCGTTGTAGTGAGAGGAGCTTCAACAGTGACTGGGACTTGTGACCCAAGTGTAGGTTTAAGCCCCTATCTAACGCGTGCTAAACGCTCACCTCCACTGTCCAAGCTCCTCTCTCAACTAAAAAAAATTGTGACCTATTCACGTAATTTTGATCTAAAAATTATGAACTAAGAATTTCGCTAGCATTTAAATATATGTATAAACTAATATTTTTGGATTATTTTAAAACCTACATACTCTCGAAGTTTCGGTTACTTTTGCAACCGTGATCATAACTACGATAATTTCAATGTTAAACAACTAGGAACTCTTCAACTAATAAACTTCTTCATTCTTCAGCCCCAACGCCAACCTGGCAGCCAGATACCCAGCTAACTTCAACGCTGCAGCCTGCCCCAACTATCCTTACTGCCACTGAACAGTTCCAGCGTTACATCGGACTTCATACAAGAATTTCACACAAAATGATTTGTTCCAAACATTTGTTGAAATTCCACAACAATCGAACGCACTGCCATATTTACTTTGTACCTTATTGTAAATAAAAAAACAGGTCTCGCTCAATTGGTTTCTGTAAAAAAATATATGTAAAAATGTAAATAAATATGGTATAAATATATTGATTTTTTATTGACATTCACTCAAGTAAAAATGAAATAATTTAAATTCCTCTTCGGCTCACAAAAGGTAAAAAGATATTTAAAGATCAGAGATCATTCAAGGACGTTCCAGTTTACTTTTAAAAAGCCTTTTGCTATTGGAAAATAATTATTCACCTCATTAACATACAGTGTAGTGTATCATAGTCAGTTAGACAAAATATTTTCAACTGTTTCGTATTTCTTCTTGATGTATTAACTGGCATATAATTCATTAGTTCTTCTTTAAACAGTACTTGCGTTATGGAGCATAACTTATAAGTATTGAAGTATACTAATTGTTGTAGTAATTAGAACTTACTTCTATACAATTCACAATTAAAAATAACTTTATATTTGTGTATTAAAGAAAACAACCAATTAATTTATGCTCAATTTTTTTAATTCATCAATTTGTAATACTCATTACATTTGTGAATTAAAATACATATATTAAAACATTTAAATCTGTAGGAGATCCGAACTATGTAATTACAACTTCTGTATGGTCTAGCTTGAATAAAACCTTACCATTATGAAAAAGTAAGTCAAAAAAGTAGTTATTTCAGCTGTATTTACTGAGGAGACTGAGAGAGCTTGGACCTTTTCTCTTTTAGTCTAATTCCATTGTTTCCTATATTCCTACAGTCCCATAAATTCTCAGAACATTATTTCTGGGTCTTATAAGCGATGGCTACCACTTACTATCTTTAACCTTCAAAATTACCTTGTATAGATACAAAATACTCTAAACAGGTACCAGAAAGTATGTCTTACATGAAATATGCATTAAAACTATTTTTAGTTATATTCTACATAGCCTACGGGAGTCCAAATATAATTTCATAGTTTCTTTCTTATTAGGGCAGCAATACACATAGATAATATAAAAAAAATATATAACGTTTCAAGGCTTTATTTTAAATATTACCTTCTGCACGCTATTTCATTTGTTTTAAGAAAGAAACAATTTGAGTTCAAATAGAATGTTAATTGTAATATTAATTAAAAGTATAGGGACGTTTCTTCAGGAAGTATATAGAATTTAAGAGTAAGCCATAGCCTATGTCCTAATGCATTTTATAAACTATCTATACAACAAAATTTCATTCGGACTCATCTCTTAGTTTTTGTTGTGAAGGACAACAAACATGAACGCATCAACCATCCATAAAATCTTTATCCTTATAATATCAGTAGGATACAGTCATATAAAATACCTAAGCCAAATCAAAATTATAATTCTCAGTTGAAATGCTATTTATAAAAGTTGCTCATAGCCATGCTAATGAAGAAAGGTCGTAAAACCATTTTGGGTATAAAGCCTCATTACTTTACATCTACACCAACTGCCAATTAAGACACTCGTAAATTAACACACGACCAGCAATAAAACAGTTAATGTACATAAAATAGGAAAACTTGAATAAAATTATAGGTAGGAATAGAGACGAGTAATAATGGAACAGAATTTGTAAGAAAAATAATACGTATATTGATTGAAATTGTTTTGTACTTAAAACTATTTAATATTTTCAAAAGGTTCCTACAAAAATGCGGTAGTTATGACAATACTATCATAATTAAATTTAGGTATAATAAAATAGGCACTTTTTCTGGTCCATATAAATCAAGTTCCGGGAAAATTATTTTATAAGTAAAATGAAAAAATATTATAATGAAAAAGAAATACATAGAAATAAACAAGTTTAGGAACATTGTATTCTATAATAATCTCGTTTCGTTCAGAAATAAGTTATACATATAAATTCTAAATAGTTTTAAATAATTTTTTTTAATAACCATTCTGACGATAAAAATATCTTCGATGAACAAACAACCAAATAATTATTATTACATATAGTTATTATTTTGATTACTCTAACAATTAATTATAGATCGTATATTGCAACACATTCTTTTACCGCCTACTATTACAGAACACAAAATGTCGGAATTTTAGCCAATAATTAATAACACAAAATATTGACACTATCGATTAATGTCGTCACTATTTAACGATACTTTTATACATTTTTACTTAGTTTAAAATATTTTTTTACCTTTTAATATAATTGTATGATAAATTATTTAAATTAATTCAACTATAAAATCGTTAAACGCTTAACCTAAATCAGTTCATACTAAATAAGACATCTTCTTTCCTGTGTTCAAGAAAAATAATTTATTTTAAATAATATATATATGGGACCGGGCAATACCAAATACATGTTGATACGAATATGTCTATCAAACATTTAAACTAAACTGAATGCTTTAACCCAAGTTTGAATTATTACTACATACTTGACAGTTGATAGTAAAGATTAGTAAAAGTCAGTAAACTCAGCCTAGTGGTTAAAAGGCCCGCCTCTCATGCACGAGGGCGCGGGTTCGATCCTGGCAAATACCAATGTGATTTTTCCGAGTCATATGTACTTTCTAAGATTATTTAGACATCACTGATTAATGCATTCCCAAAGAGAGTTGATGTCAGGTAGGCGGCCGGTCGTAAAACAATTAAACAAACCTATTCAAAACATGTAAGGCAGACCCTGGTTAACACTGCCAAATTGCCAGGTAGAAGAAGATTTTTGATAGTTGGTAGTATAGATTGGAAAACGGGAAAGTAGTATGACGATGTAATAAATAGTAAGTGTAATTCGATAAATACAGAAATAAAGTAATTTTAATGTTACAAAACATCGATTAGGGACAAATTTACGTCAATTAAAAATAGATTATATATTTATTTTGGTTATAGAAAATCTTATTTATTAAATTATAATCATTTATTATTAAATTTTAACGTAATGTCGACACTTCGTTCATTACGTTCAGTTGCGTTATTCAAACTCACGCAACTGTTTTAGTTCATCCTGTTTCATTTTAATTTGCGATGCAAGCATTTGACACTTCCGATATAACGTTTTTTGGTAACTAATTAATTATCCACGTTTTTATTGCAAGTAAACAATCATTTTACGCTAATTATATAGGGTGGCAACCGGGGGTTCAGGGAAAACTACGAAACTTACTTATGTGTAATATAATAAGAATTACATGTTAAAACTTATAATATGCTTAAGACTACATGATTGCCCCGATGTTAGGATAGCAATACCATTCCATAGCTTGTGTGTATCAGGAATCTTCTGGTTCACACGGCTTGGTGTTCGTTCCGCGGAGTCAGCGGCGTCACTCGTTATATGATATTTTATACATACAACGATGTTGCCCCGGCGATGTTCATTTATAAACTTAAAGCATATAAAAAATAAAACATGTTTAAGAGCCACCTTCTCTTCAGTCCAAACAACGTCTACTGTCAGAACTATATGGAAATGTGATTCAAATGTTTTTAATCATCATCATCTTAGTGAGATTTAGTAATAAAATAATATTAAGCAAGAATAAACAAAAACAAGAATTATTTTCACTTCCAAGAATGATTTCTTAATCTGTCGAAGTATTTTGAACATATAATGAAATGAAAATAAAAGTATGATCCTTACCACAAGTTAAAATTACTACATAAGTAACGTTTAAATTTCTTCATTCATAAACGATATTAGTTATTACTAATATTAAATATGTGAAACTGTTTACTCTGCGTCTGTAGTATACAATACGGACTCATAGTAATGCCTTAATGTCGTGAATGGAACTATAAATATAATGTTATTTAAGGTGCAACTTATCGTATGTTGAATGTCAGTTTCAAGTAACAGGTTACAAACGGAGCTTCCTCAATTAAATTCTCCTGTAGATACAATTTCACTTGATGGTATTGTTTACGCCAAGGATCTGCTGACATCGTATTTTATAATTTATTTTTAATTTACGATCATAAATTAAACATAATACAAATAAACTAACTGGTTGTATTTTATTTATTGAAACTTATTGATAAAACATTTGATGCATTTAATAAGGATAATTATTTCTGTTTTAGCCTTTTAATCACTTCAATTTTATTAGCAAGAAAAAATGAATTTAATTTAGAATATCTTGCATTGTTTTATTTATAACAAAAGATGATCTAGATTTTTTTATGTTAAAAGCAAACGAGCAGATGGTCTACTTGATGGAAGATAGTCACCGTCACCCATGGACATCTGTAACATAAGAGAAGTTGTGGATTTTGTGCCGATCTTAATTGTGGAAGAGAAGGCTTGAGAGGTGGCTTAAAACAAATAATTTATAAAACAAATTTAGTCAAGGTCTGCCTTACATGTTGTGAATAGTTTTGGCTAATTGTTTTTACGACCGGTTGCCTGCCTGACATCAACCCTCTTCGGGAATGCATTAATCAGTGGTGTCTAAATACTCTTAGAAAGTACATATGACTCGGAAAAATCACATTAGTACTTGCCAGGGCCAGGATCGAACCCGCACCCTCGTTCATGAGAGGAGGGCCTTTTAACCACTAGTCCACCACTGACTCATATGCGTTATATCCTAGGAGAACTAAACTATGCTTCTTTATAAAAAAAGTAAATCAAGTTGCAATCTTTTAGGAAATAATACTGTAATATTACGTCAAATTAAGCTACAATAAAATTTTCAGTGTCTCCCGAATCTTACAATTAGTGCAGGTCATATTAAATGATATTAAGCAACTGATGCTCTTATTAAATTACAAAATAAAGAAATTTGTTAAAGATGAAAAATACCTAACAATCAGACATACAGACAATAAATATGACCAATGATTCTATGTGATCTTTCTTTTGTTATAATTTACGAAGAAACTTGTAATGAAAGACAAAACAATTAAGTAATATTATCCAACAATTTATTATATTATTTAGGAAATCATTAATCTTCTATATATATAAAAATGGATTGCTGTTCCTTAGTCTCGCTAAAACTCGAGAACAGCTGAACGGATTTATCTTATCTTAGTCTTGAAATGTTCGTGGAGGTTCAGGGAAGGTTTAAAAGCTGAAAAAATTTTATCAATTTCCGGGAAAACCCTAAAAACAGCGCTTTTTTATTTCCCATAGAAACGGTTTTTTGACATTAGATTTGACAACTAACTAATATGTCAATCATTTTGTCGCACTTCAGGACACGGAGATTTATGGCTTGAGGTAAACACCAAAAAAATAAATAAAACATAATTTATTTATTGATTGAGGCAGTACGAAGTCTGCCGGGTCAGCTAGTGTTTGATACATTTTCAACGCCATCACATACATAGGTCTTATATCAAAGCATTATATCTTACATACAGAATCAAGATCATGTTTTCTGTACCATCGTGGACATAATTTAATTTTTCATATATTTTTTGTCACTGCTTCCATAGTTTATATTTCTTAGCACATTAACATAATCTTATTTTGTCATTATTTAAAGAATACTCGTATAGACTTCTTAGGTATGTATATCAATAAATAAACAATTTGATATTTCTCTTATTACCTAAGTCGTGCTGGCACTAAGTTTGTCACTCAAATTATTCGACTAAAGTGCCTTAAATGACACACCCAAATACTTTGGAGTTCCCGCAAAACAATAAACAAATAAGAATCATAATATAACGAAAGTCTTCTTTAAGAAGTATATCATTATTTTTAAATAAATGCTTTTATTCCATTCGTCAACTCTTTCGTGTCTCCACACAATATTCAAGATTATAATTCGTCCAACAAATAAAAACGTTAACATTAGCAAAATATATCACCATTCTAGTGAAAATGAAGTAACAGTATAAAAAAATCATAATTAAATTTTAGTAAAGATGAAATCTTATTCACATATTCTAGATATAATAATAGTTTACAATTGAATTAAAAATTTAATTGCGACTTTAGATTTAAAACATCTGCTACACAAAGCCGCATAACTACGTGTTTCTTGAAGACCGCTAACTCATATAAGCTGATTAATACGCCGCGTCAACAGTTTTTCATAAACAAAACTTCACTCATAGTATTAACGTGGGCTATTGAATGTCAAACGTCAAACGCGTCGTGTGCAGTGTTATGCAAACTTTTGGCTAAAGGACGAACATAATTCCTAGATATACGATTATAGCTATAGTAACTAATGTCAGTGGTGGCCTAGTGGTTAAAAGGTACGCCTCTCATGCACGAGGGCACGGGTTCGATCCTGGCAAGTACCAATGTGATTTTTCCGAGTCATATGTACTTTCTGATAGTATTTAAACATCACTGATTAATGCATTCCCAAAGAGGGTTGATGTCAGGCAGGCGGCCGGTCGTAAAAAACCAAACTTTTCACACAAGGCAGACCCTGGCTAAAGCTGGAAAATTTCCAGATAGAAGAAGAACCAATGGTAACTAAAGAAACCTCACTAAATTTGTTATGATTTTAATTTATTATAAAAGATAGTGATGATCTTCGACTCTCCGAAACTAATTCAGGATATATTTTCTTCTTTTTTTCCTTCTTTATATTGTTCTCAATCATTTCTATGTTCGTCTGTTCGTTGATAAAATTCTCAAACATCATCAAAATATCTTCAGACGATTGACATTCTTCTGTCAGGCGATCCATTTGAACTGCTATGGCAGCACACGACGCAGAAGATAACTAAGAAGAAAGGTATTTTTGCTGATTACTTAAAAAGAAGTAGAAATTATTACAAAGAAATAGACACAGTGAATTGAGTTTCAAATGATTACTGCCACATATTCTATTTGCTTAACCTTTTCCCACACATTATTTATTATAAAAAAAAAATGAAAAACTTATGATTTTATGAAATTAGTATAGTATTTTATTTTCTATGATTATATCATAATTTACTATGTTAGTTTTCTTAATTTGCAATTCCCTATTTATGATAGCTGACTGAATACATCTTTTGTCAACTAATCCAAAAATTTACTTTTATAACTTCACACAGAATAAGTAACTATAATACATATATGTATAATAGCCCAAAATTCTCATAAAAACATAACCGTAATTGTCATAGAAATTCCAAGCTTGGATTTTAGAACAACAAACCTTTAGCAGCATTATTCTGTATTTTTCCAGGTCTACGTCAACATCGGCAGGTCTTGATTGAAGCCAGCCGTAGTTGGACTTCAAGGAATGAAGCCGCGCCTGCTTACTTCTAGACTCCTTGAGCAATAACTGTACCTTTAAACGACCACATTTCATCAGGAGACTTATAATATATTAAAATACGCAAAAATATCCAAAAAATATTAGTTTCATTTAAATGAATACTCGCGAAAGTCTTAGACCTTATTATAGTATATGATTCAAAAGAATTTTAAACTTTACATCCTACTAATATTGTAATTGCGAAAATTTGTGAGTGTGTGTGTGTATGTTTGTTACTTCTTCACGCTCAAACGACTGAACTGATTTTGATAAAATTTTGTATACAGGAAGCTGACGTCCAGGAATAACACATAGGCTACTTTACATCCCGGAAATCCTGGAAATCCGCAGGTAACACCGCGGGGCGCAGCTAGTAGGTAATAAGTACTTACAAAAACAGTAATTTTCCTTAAATAAATATGAAACGTTATCACTATTAAGTTATTTTTAATAAATTTCTTCCGATTTTTGATTCAGGTAAGGTTGATAAAATAAATATTAAATTTAAATCAAAATTTATTCAAACTCGATTTGAACCCGCGACTCAGTTGCTACAACAATTGAGCTATTACGTCTAGATTTTATACTTAATTACAAATGTTTAGATAAAATTATCTTCCTATTAGGTTTTCTTATACATTTGTCTAAACTTTTAATCATATAAATTAATATTACAGAAAAGTTAAATTAAAATAATATAACTTACGAAATTCAACAATTCTACCGATTTATAATTTGCATCCTGAGACAGTAACTTCTCAGCGAAAAACATTTTGTACACAAAACTTATTGAAACAAATAATTTGTTTTATATACTGTGGAATATTAAACACTTGACAGTTAATTATTTTTTCGACGATACGGTTATTATCTGTTTAATAAAAGACTTAATTAAAATTGATAATCTATAACATATATAAAAGATATTGGATATTGCTTTTCGTTTTAGGAATCCGTGCTTAAAAGACAGAAATTATTGTAGAATTCGCGATTTATATGTATTTGTATGGATTATTTCCGCCAATAACAGTACATAGAATAATTTGTTAAAATATAAATAATTCGTTTTATTATCACAAAATCATGATAATGAAATTAAAATGATATATTTAGGTATGTTTATTTCTTTTTTGTATTTAATTCGACTTTTTAAAGCCGTGTTTGTTTAAATATTCCAGTGTTGATTTTAGCAGCTACTTTGTTTTATATCCTTATTTTAATAGTTTTGCCACGTAAAATCAAACAATCAAACATCATCCACATTTAGAACACAACTAAATTACTTTTTTTCTAAATATAATGAATGTGCACGATCGCGCCAACCAAAATATTCATCAAACTTTAGAACCCTAGTTGGTAACTCTATCCAGAACTCTGTTTGCTAAAGCCATTGTTATTATTGTAAGACGCCATAGCTCACCAAGTAACTGTGAATTTATGTACCAGCCTTTACGCAAGGGACCACGTATAAACTTAACATATTAAGATTGTTAGAGCAGATGACATCTCACTCTCTTCCCGCTCGATATAAGATCAGAATTATTCTTCTAGGAGTGATAATTTGGCAATAAATGCAATTGTCAACACTTGGATAGTCAGTTTAATTAAGAGGATTCATCAGTAAGCAATTTTTTCACAGATTCCACAAAAACCCAGATTTCTATGATCTAAAGGGATAGATTTTACAGAGCTTTTGGTCAAAATTCTCTCAATAGATTGTTATTTTAACAGGAGTAATAAATTTTCTAAGAGTATTTATTTGATAAATATGTAACTACACCTTAGTCAAATCTCTTGGAATTTATGTATTTCTATTAAATAATAACGTATCCATGAAAAGCAAACAAAGATTTATATTAGAAGCAAAATACTCTGAAAACGATTGTAAAAGAACCATGTCGACAAATGGTCAGACACAGAAAATAAATTGATTAGTATAATTTATAATAATTAATAATTTGTACCACACATTTGAACATATCTTTTTTTTCTTTCCTAGTACTTATATATTTCTCGTTTGTCAAAGCCTCGTCTACTAATTTTATTGGATGCCCAATAAGATGATTTTGATAGTGAAGGAAGGATTTATTTCATACCCTTTGCATCCGTTCTAGTAATAATACACTTAAAACATTCTTTTATTTTTAGATGAATGAAAAGTATTATGCAGATTTTTCTTTTCATTAACTTACCCTTACTCATGTTTTATAAAAACGTGTTCAAATAGGTATTTGTTTTCATAAATTTTCCACTATCAAGTCTTAATATTATTTCTTCGCTTTATTATAATATTAATATTATTGTGAACTAATAGCAATCATGTAACCTCTTTGGCAAGAATAAAAAAAACATCTCATTCCGTCAAAATTGACAAGAAAATTAATGCATAATAAAAATGAATTTGACGACGAAAAAAGGTGCCCATGCAACGTATTAACAGATATAATATTGAGAATTAAAATGGTTATTCAGCTGTTGTTATGTGTGCCGATGGATGAAATATTTGAAGAAAAACCAACTTGCGAGAAGAGTTTTGTTGCAGACACGACAGACGTGAATGAAAAAGTAAGCAAAAAATGTCAGATAAGAGGAAATTCTAGGCGGAATAGCATAAGAAATAAAATATTTGGATGTAATGTAGACCAACGCGTAGAAACGAAAACATCTAGCAAACATTTATATGAAAAATTTGAGGAATTAGATACAAAACAAAATGACATTGAAAGCGAAGAGATTCGACAGGCGACTGACAGGAGCATTCAGCCAGGAGACGGACCACAGATTAATAAGAGTGAACATATGAAACCTATTTTTTGTAAAAGATATTTTTGGGGCGAGACGGATATGTAGAAATTTTAATAAATAATCAACAGAAATTATTTATCTATTGTTTGTATACGTTTACAACACATTCACTCAATAAGTCCTTGCATATATACGTCCTATAGGTATCATTGAAAAAAATATGCGTGCGTACAAAGTACACATATTACAAGTGAAACTTCTTTGGCGAACTAATTTATAAATCTTGTACTTTATACTTGTAATTTATACGAATCTAAAACGTTATACGACGTTAGCCCTGTCTCACTCTATCTCTCAATCTATCTCGCTTGCTCGCTCCCTACTCTCACTCCATACTAATTGCTTCATGCTACATTTGCTGTCTCACTCTCTCTCAATCGTTCTCTCTCTCTCTCTCTCTCGACAAAACTAAGATATTATATGATTTTAATGTAATAGATTTCGTTAAAAACGCCAATGTGGTAGTTCCCATCAATCAGTTGCATCACTAACTTTAAATATTAAAGGAATATAATATCATAAGGAAATGTGAGTATAAAAAATCCTAAGATTATAAACTGTCATTAATTTAAAAACAAAATGGAGGACAAAATAAAACACATGAAATTATTCAATTTATTTGGTGTGTTGTGCATAACCGCTTACTATCACAGGGAATTAAATAAATAAAGCATAATAAATATTATTACAGGCTAATTAATTTTCTCTTTTCTAGAATAAGGCCACATTGACAGAGACGGTATAAACACTAAGAAAATGGCCGGCTTGACCGTATTTAATACAAAATGCAACATGTAGAAGAAGAACGCATTAGCTCTAGTGATGTTCAACTCCAGCTGTTTGAAAGCAAACATCGATAAACCGGTAGCAAATATCGATATCAACAGCGACCTGTTGCTAGTGTTGTGACGGTATCTGGAATTAAATTAATATATTGTGTTAATAATAAATATATTGAAAGTGAAATTTCTTATGCAACTTTCAATAAGGTTGCGTTAAACGTTTAACGCGCCCGACCTCCAATAAGGTTGCGTTAATGCGTGTCGCTAGAACGTATGCGGGCAATCAATAGCGACTTGTTAGTAATTTTAATAAAGTTTGTCTTAAAGAAACACTTAACATTCCTTAAAAATCACTTTTTATGTTCTTTCTCAAGGTCAACTCTATCTCTGCACTAAATTTCATTAAAATCAGTTCAGTGGTTTAATCGTGAAAGCGTAACAGACAGACAGACAGAGTTACTTTCGCATTTATAATATTAGTAGGGATATATTCTACCTGTCCACAGCGGGTGTGACACATAGAGACCAACTGAGCATTGCCGCTGTAGTGTTGACTAATAAATATAAAGGTGTGGTTGACACACTTATAGATGATGGAGAATTACACCAACGGAAAGCCTGGAAGAAAAAAAATACACATATTTTTAAATGCAGACCCTGGCTAAAGCTAGGAAATTGCCAGGTAGAAGAAGATATACAGGGTGACTGGTGAATTACTATCGATACTTGAGGACGTGATATTTGACGATCATATATGACAAAATAAAAATTAATATAACATAAATATTAATAAACTTCTAAGTAGAGTTAACCAAAAGTTATGTTATTAATTACGCATCGTGTGAACACCCTACAGATTAGGTATACACTCACACTCACACATACGCGTGCGGCGGCGTGGTGTTGTATCAGCACGCCGCCGCACGCGTCCACACTTGGAAATTTGGTCAAAAATTAAGTACCTATTTTTTTTACATAATTCGAATGAGAATCATGTACCGAGTATTCTCCTTAAATATTGATAGTAATTCACCAGTCACCCTGTATATAGGATTTTGAATTACTTTGAAGAATTTTGTATGCAATACCTCTGACCACAAGAAATATATCTTATATATTTAAATGAGCAATTCTTGTATATCTAATAAATATAATATATCTATCTAATTGGAATCTCGGAATCGGCTCCAATGATTTTCATGAAATTCAGAGGCGATAAATCGATCTAGCTAAGAATCGTTTTTAGAAAATGTTATGTTATTTAAAAAAAAAAGTAACAAAAAGGAGTCGTTTAAAATATGACTCTTCCTGACATCTATTATCGAATAGTGATACTAATTTTTGCTAATTGCTTTAACGACACAACTGCAGATGGCGTTTTAAGGTTAGACTAAGAAATTAATTGTTGATTTACATTGTTTTGTGTCTTCTTAACGTGTTCACTTGAAAATGCCTTAACGAAAAAAAACACAAAATAAATATTAATAATCCCTAAATACCGAGCAAAGCTCGGTAACCAGGCATTATAATGTAATACAAGAAAATCTACCCTTATGTATATAGATTTTATAAATGTAATATACTACATAGTATTTGAACTTTGAACTGAATATTATATGGAGAATTTCTTTTACAAACTGAGGTATTCTGTCCTTACTGGGATTTTAATTAATTTAGTTATTATTTTATATAAAGTTGAATCAATTTTTTTTTATATGTTCAAGTGTAGTTTCTGACTGAAGACTTTCATTAAAATTAAATTGTAATGATCAAAATCACCTTAAAACTTGCTTGTAACATAAAAAAAAGTTTCTACATCTATAACATAAAGAAAAATCTAATCACATCTATATTATATGACAGTTTCATTAAAAATGGTCTAGTTTATACAACTTACTAATTGTACTGTATAGTGTGGGTCTATGCCCATAACTTTCATCACCCAGTACATCCCTAAACCGATGGATCCCATCACTAGTGAAATAATCACATGTTTAACAACCATATTCTGTACAGGTTTTGATGAACCATATTTCCAGATGTATGGATCAGATACATAAATACATAGTGCTGGAGCGAGAAATACACCTGGAAAAATATTATATGAGATAATTAGTTAATTATAAGTGAATAATAGTAATGATATCTGAAATTTTCGCGAGTATTCATTTAAATGAAACATATTATTCGGATATACTACTCGACTTTATTTTTGATAAAAAACTACATACTACCGACGTGTCGGTTACTTTATAAATACGAAAGTAACTCTGTCTGTCTGTCTGTTACGCTTTCACGCCTAAACCACTGAACTGATTTTAATGAAATTTGGTACAGACATAGAGTTGACCTTGACAAAGAACATAGGATAGTTTTTATCCCAGACTTTTGAAAGGTTCTCTTGGAAACGCGATATAACAGAACTCCACGCGGGCGAAGCTGCGGGCGGGAAGCTAGTTGATTATATACATACATGCATGTATGTTCTTACCGATCATAGCTCCCAACAGACATTGGTGTGGGAAATGTGTAGCAACATACAGACGAGCCAGCATCACTGATACTATAGATATACCGAAGAACGGATATACAGCATGCTTCCACCACGGAGACCATTTCCTGTAAGAAGATAAACAAGAAACACCCTGTATATATGACTAATGAGTTTCTCGGGAAACCAACATCCCCAAACACCATGCCATCAAGTCAATAACTTATAATAATGAACTAATTTATAAAATCACTAGTAATAGGTTCGTCCTAAATTTGTACGCGGTAGAAGCCAGAAATCTCTCTACAACCTACTAAAAGACTTGGGCCTGTCTAGAACTAATATCTATTCATTCTTGGAACGTACTTTGAAGGCAGCTCTAGTAGATTCGTTTCAAATTTGGTAGAGAGAGGAGCTTGTACCGTGGAGGTGAGCGTTTAACGCGCGTTAGATAAGGGTCCCTTAAACCTACACCTGGGTCGCAAGTCCCAGTCACTGTTGAAGCTCCTCTCCCTGCAACGCGATGGACTCATCACCCGCACCGTGGATACATGCAATTCATATCTTGATCGGTGTTATTAAATAATAACATGATGTCAAACATAATGTAGACAGACCACTTCATTATATTACTTTCCATCATTTAATCATCCTACTAGCACAATACAAAAAACACAAACTAAAAATACTTTTATTGAATTCTACATATAATATACACACACAAATTACCTATATTTACTTCAGATACAAAGAAAATACTACATAGTCAAATCTTCTACCGACCTGTCATTGAATATGTGCTGTCCCCACATAATGATTAATATGAGGACCTCGGCAGCGGCACACGAATGACCAGAAGGACTTCCCGGACCTGTCTCACATGTTTGATCCGTCTGATACAACTGAGGGGGAGAGGTATAGAATGTTGTCTCTCTCACCCACCAGAATGGACGATCTTCTAGAAGAATCCTGGAATAATGTATGATATATGTATATAAGGGAACTAAGAAGAAATTATTATCTACATATAGGAAATAAGGAGAAATAATTACTAAAGGAATACTTTATATCTTTAGGAAAAGCCACAATAATGTGTTATATCTATATGTTTCCTACATACAGATATAACACATTAACTAAGAAATAATTATTAATAACTAAAGTAATACTTTATATCTTCAGGAAAAGTCATCTATATTAGCCTAAAATGTATACTAATACTTAACTTTTACTGTTCAACGTAATTGTAGACATACAAACATACATACATACCTAATTATGGAACCAATCAGAAGTTACTTCATAATGATTCAAGTAAATAAGAATGTAAAATTTATAAATGTTCAAACGGGTTTTGAAATTACAAGATCCATATAATTGATTCAAACTCACTTGAGTAATTAATATATGGCATTTACTTATTAAAATTCTCATAACAGATATTTTTTATATAATTACAAATTAAATAACATTATAATCACGAAAAAACTAATTTTATTACCCATAACTATATAAATTATTGTTTAAAATGTGTTATTAATTATGAATTATTAAAAACAAATATCAAAATTATAATAATTCATAATACTCACCACTTACTGATGGAATTAACCCAGCCACCGACAGCCATAACTAACAGTAATTGTGACGCAAACACAGAATCGAAGATAGATATCAATGGAAATAGAATTTCCAGCATATAATGAGGGTTGGAAAGATGATTCACCAGTTCAAAGTACCACGACCAGTCTTCAAACCTACGGTAAATCGTTCAAACAAAATAAAAATAAAAAAATAAATAACTAATAAGAAAATCTAGATAATATATTGTTATAATAGAAATGTATGAAACTAAATGGGTGGAGTTATTGAAAGATATTTGTTTCAATTTAATATGAATGAATATTGTAGGTATTACAAATTTATGTACAAATATAATTATTTAATATTTCAATGGATTGTAATTGATATTGTTGTTTTTAAATGCCGCTAAATAATCATGTTAGAATATCTTAAACTTGGTAATATATAATAGGGCTATTTTAATATAAATCGTGTTATATGTCCAATAAGAAATTATTACACCAATTTTGTAGAAGGACTAACTAGAAATTTGATAAACCTAAAGACTAGAATATTCTAATATAAATTGGTAATTCAGCCAAACAATGCCTATAAGATTCTCATTAAAGATTTCTCACAGAAATTAAATCTTTATTATTTACTTAAACGACATGAATATTTATAAAAATTGAATTTAAAGTACCAGTATTGCACAAACTCGATGCAAGATACTCCGAGCGCGTAGATCTGTTCCATGATGATTTTTTTATCTAACAATAACACATTAATATATAACCATTTCGTATTATTATTGATTGCATCAATTATTTAAAATTTTGCGAATCCATCGTCACAGCGGATCGTTTAATTTGACTTTGTCAAAATGACATACGTCATATCCCTTCAATCGATTTAGTGTTTAACAAACAAATAATTAATGAAAATCTTATTACTTTAATAAATTTTATATTAATAACTATTTATATAAGCTGATTTTTATTTATGAGTGACAAATAACAATTTAGTCTGCTACTATCACAGAGGCACCTAGAGGAGATAATTCAACTCGCATTAATGACGAAGATACGCAGAGCCATCTTTGGTTGAGGAGTTGTATTATAACTATTAGCTGAAAGATGGCATTAGTATCAATATTAATAAAATTTATTATCTCAATACTAAATTATTTTACTTTTTAGTCATCAATGAATATTTTTAACAAGAAAGGATATAGGTTTGTGTAGAAACAAAATAGTATGAAAAACTATAATCTCAAAAAACCATTAATAGGTGTTCAAAGAGCGGACCTAAATTAATAAATATAACCTTTACAACTATTCACTATGTAAAACCTTACTTTCAAAACACACTGAGAAAATAATGGAAATATAAAAATAAATCTCACCTCGAAAATTAATTTCCAAAATATCCTTCGCTTAACTGCTATAAGCGCCGGATAGATGGCGCTGGTCCCGGGAGGCCGTGAGCGAGTATTATTGTTTTAATAATTGAGTATTATACTATGGTAAAGATACAGTGGGCTACAAAGGTTTTGATCTGTTTTCATTACGTTTTATTTTTATAGAAGTTTACTATCAAAATTATACACACTTTAAAATTGTCAAACTTTGTCGGATATATGTACTTACATTTATGTATTTCAAATACTTATAATATTTTAATTTGCAATATTGTTAATATTTTGACTTTTAAATTCACATAACACTACTAGAGATGAAATGTTTCCCGTTTTTCATATAATTTATTCAATGAAAAACTTTAATCATTTGCTTCTGTTGTTAGTCGACTTCAGATTTATAATTTAACTTACTTTACAACTATAAAACCAGGATTCAAATAGACTTTGAAAAAACCTTTATTCAAAACGTAGTTAGATACACATGTTTTGTTGTCGTCAATTTAAAATAATGAATGATATTTCATTACTTGTTGTGTGCACTGTACACTCTAGATACTCGCCTGAATTTCAACAAATTTAATCTTGATTCAACGATCCAATGATAACGTACACGAGATATATCTTAGGATAAATCTTAAGATAACTTTTTAATCAAAATAATTAAGTTATATAATTGGTGGTTAAATTTAAATTGCCGATACTGAATGTAAACATAAGCGACAAGTTTTTTCTGCATTTCATTTAATATTTCTCAATTTCAGAACAACTCCTTTTGAGCCATTGAAAGATACACAAAGGAGAAATGAGTTAAAGTAATTCAGGTTTCAAATTATGTAGATAGGCTTACGAAAATGGACGTACAATCAAAATGCATATTATAAACTTCGTGTTTTTTGCTTAATTTAATCTTCAATATGTGCGTATATTTGTAATAATCGTGCAACATTTTGGGCAAATTGTAGATGTGAAAAGACCAGTTAATGCTCGTACAGCTTGAAGTATAAAAATTTTTGCTACTGTTTACGATATCATTATTATACCCACCAATTGCAATCTCATGCTCGCTGTTGGTGAAAATTATGCATAAAGACTTGCATTCACAGAAGGTGCAAGTACTTTTCACCATTGCAAGATTCGTATAGTGAGAATGGCGGCAAAAAATTACTACAATGGAAGATTAATTTCAAGAAAATAATTTTCAGTGGTAAGGTACATTATCACTTCAGTGGATTCGTCAATACGCAGAAAGCTGTCTTTAGGCGAATGATAATTCATTAGTGATTGTCGAGAAACCAATGCACCAATAAAGAGTGACTCTTAGGTGTAATTATGCTTTATTTTGCTAAAATGAGACCGATACAGCAGTTACTGTGATTGGCGTTCACTATCTTAAGATAATAATGAACATTTTTTGGATCATATTTGAAGTTATGCGGACGAGGTGTGGTGTCAAAAATTAGCCACTAGTCACACAACTAAGGAAACAATAATGGTCACCACCAGTAAGTATATCACCATATCAATTGGCAGCAGTGATAATTTGACACCGTTGGACCTCTTTCTTTAGGGCTATTTAAAAGAAAATTTCTTTTCAATGAGCTATCAACCATTCAAGAGCAAAAGAATGAGATATTTCTTTACATTAACATCATCAACATCGAAAACTTGGACTATCGATTGATCGAAAACTTGTACCAATATTAACAAACAGATATGACAATAATTTAATAAATAATAATTTATATTTCATTTTAAATCTTCATCGGCTTTAATCTAATTAAATATTTATATTTCAGCAATAATCTTATGTAAACTTAATGTATGTAAAGAAAAAATGCAAAAAATTATTAAAAATATGTGTAAAAATACAAAAAAATTAAATAGCTTCTGATAACAAAATAATTATAGCCGGTATTTTTTATACAACCGTTTTTGTCTATATACAAATAAATCTGTCTGTTTGTAATATAAAAATAACTAGTTTTTAATGAGATCTAAAATTTTTGCGAGTATTCATTTAAATTAAACTAATATTTTCGTGTTACTACGCGTATTTTATTATTCTTAAATTACATACTACCGACGTTTCGGTTACTTTGCAGCAGCCGTGATCACGGACAGACGAGATTTTTTTATATACCTAAGAAAATACACATAGTTATCCAATAATATTAGTTTCGTTTAACTACTCTTTACTAAATGTATGTATATATGCTACCGGCTATGTGTTCAAGACATTTTTTGTATGATTTTTGTCTATTAGTTTGTACTGCTCTACCCATGTTGATAAGACTTTCAGTCATAAACAGCTGATATAATGAGTCACAAAGACTACATGTTGTTGTCTATTAATATAAACAATAAAAAAAATAACTACTTGAAGACAAAGTCGCGATCACGGCTAGTATGAAATAAAAAACATGCTATGAAAGATTTTTTCCATCGTGCCATTAATAACATTTACAAAAATGATTTAAGCGCAAAATTCTAAATTTCATGTGAAATGAATGAAAACCTTCTCCATGTGAGAAGAGGCCTTTGCTAAGTAGTGGGCTCTGATAGGCTGATGATGACAACGAATCTAAGACTGGTAACCTATTAATCTTTGTAAATGAATGTTTATTAATGTTAAAGCATAAAGCTTTATTAACATCAATAGTATTCTCATTTAAACAATTATTTTCTATACTTAGACTATAGATCTAGACTATATTGACCTTTCTATTTGTTATTATACCATATCTCAAGATAAATCTTCTCGTTTCATCTCATGTATATCCAGAGTCTCGTAAACGCGGTATGATCACGTAGAATTATTGCATTAAACTGTAATCTGGGCCTCCCTCGAGGCAATTACTGTTTCAGTCCTCTCTTCACACTTACAGAGAGAAAATTATACATAACTAGTATTCACCCGCGGCTTTGTTCGGGTTTGATATGAAACAAAGGTTGAATACAGTTAAATAACTTTATATATATGAACATAACAGTATGTGGTTTATAACTTAGCTGACTGTATTAGAATTATATTTATTTTAAAACTATAATAATCTACGTTAATACTATAATATGTATATGTGAATAAACTATTAACTTTCCGTATTTAGTGACAATGAAACTTGTAGTAAACATATTAGAATGTTATGATTTAGAATTGATTAAGTAATGGGTGTTTTAATAGAGAAGAAATATCAAGATAGAAAACAAAAAAGCTAAATAATATGTAGGTATATGTCTTAAAAGAATATTAAATTATAATTAACTATTATAAAGATTAAAGACACATCTCGTCTGCCCGTGATCAAGGTTGCTGTAAAGTAACCGAAACGTCGGGAGTATGTAGTTTTTATTAAAAATAAAGTCACGTAGTATATCACAAAAATATTGGTTCAACTATTACATTGTTTTGTTTTATATAGAAGTATAGTCTTTTTAAAACAGAAAACATAAAACTAATATAAAAAAAGTACATATATTAAAAAAAATTTAATTAAATAATAATTTAAGTGTTAGTTTTTGTAACAGGATTTTAAAATGATAGCGTAAATCAGAATAGCCAGGTTATAATTTGAAACAATTTAGTATACTTATAGAATTTATTATACATATATTATAATTATTATAAATTTGTAGAAAGTTAAATTAAATATAGAAAAATTAAATCCGAGTTAAAACAATACTCACTTTATAGAATCGTCATCTCCAAGGTTTAAGCAGACCTTTTATTTTACGATAAATATTAGTTTTCAAATTAAATTCTATTCAACAATTATTATAAAACATTGACAAGTAATGTACTTAAATTGTAAAGTTTGTAAAATGAGAATGTATTGAGATTCATGTATGAAAAACTTCTTACGCGACGTGTGGAGTATGAGTATGAAGACTTATAGTAAGCTTAGTGGTAGGATGAATTAATATTTTCATTATGTATTAGGTATTTGATTTAAAGAATTAACTTTTCATTGCTTGAAGCCTAATTCTGATAAGTTAATGACCTTTTGACATATATCAAAAATTAACGATTATATAGTAGGTATTCTATATAAATCAAACTCCAAAAATAATGTCCAAAAAATAGACATATAAGTTTTGTACTCTCCCAGAAAATAAAAACAAAGAAACGTAGGTACCTACCTACATCTTCGCCGTCGGCAATTTACCGACGGCGAAGATGTAAAATAAAATAATTTAAGGTACATATACATGATACATATCTTCTCTTCTACCTGGCAATTACCCAGCTATAGCCAGAGTCTGTCTTACATGTCGTTCATAGTTTTGGCTAATTGTTTTTACGACCGGCCGCCTGCCTGACATCAATCCTCTTTGGGAA